TTATTTGGAGGTGAGTGTGTTTTCGGGAATCTTGTGTATTCCGTTCGCATTGCTTGCCAGGTTATTGGTATTTTAATGAAGTTGGAAAAATAGTTGCCTTGTACCTACATTTAATTGCTTGGAACTTTTGTACAAACCTGGTAGTACAGTGAACCATGCAACAACTTAGCCAACACAAAGATCGCTTTGGGACTAGCCGCATTGCAAGTGTGTCCATTTTCCGGCTAACTGACTCATGATCTATGTAGACTTCACGCCACAGAATGATGTGCATTACATATATCTATTTTTTTCAGGATCCAGTAGCTTCATTGTGTACACTCAATTACGTGGTGAACAGGTGCGTTTGAAGGAATCAGATCAGCCTCGGATAGGCTCCTCTTTGTGCTAACCCTCAAACGTATTTCCAGCGCAAATGCCACCTCAAGGTTCAATTGGTCAATATTAGGATGGTAAAGCATTTGCCGTAAACGAGACTGGAGAAAATTTGTCAGCTGTCACCTATCGCTTGACAGATAGGCATATTTTCAAGCTAAGTTATTTCGTGTTCCGATGTTGAATTTACGTAATTTTTGCTATCATATCTGCATAGGAGGGTTGTTTTTAGTCAGTCTCACCATACTTTTACTAGGAAAAACCATACACCTTCATGGGAAATCGTAACACGAAAGATCCCAAAAGATTATATCTCTATCGACTCCAAAAATGCCAGAAAATATGCGAACCAGTTTAAACAAGCATTTTGTAAGTCCAAGCTCTTGGTTTATAAAACTAAAAAGAAAGCATCGTATGGATTGCAGTTTAGAGAAAACAAACTCTGTTTTGGTCATTTTTACTGGCCATTTTTCCGGGCAAGTTTTATCTATTTACACGACCGATAAAGAATTTCAAAATTATTGAGGCCCTAGAAGAAGGGGATGGACAACAGGCAAAGTATTTTGTATAGCTTTATTCGGTAGAGACAAGCAAAACCATTTGGTTTAGACTAGATTTTTTTGGAAATGTTTGAACGGATTGTGATGGCCAGAGTGTAGGTAGACTAAAGCGAGATCAGTGAAGCCGTAGAAACATGCTGAACACATATTTAGTCCTGAACTGCTGTTTCCTGTATCCAAACGTCAGAGGGATCAAAAGTTTGCGATCTCATTAGGGCATTTCACTGCTCATGTGACTTTCCGTTTTCGTTATAAAACCGTTAAGCCTAATATCTACTCTGTGCTAAGTACGATAACTCAGGTTAGTCTTTGGTGGGAATTGCATTGTAGTTAGCTGCTACCTTTCCATATAATGGGTTTGACCGTTATGTGATCGATTTGTTGCTAATATTGGTCACATTGTATCCAGGTAGTTCGAATACAGCGTCCTTTTCAACTTACTAAAGTTTGAAGGCCACATGTTAAAACTGTGTTTGTAAATCCGTTAAAGTCAGTGTGGAAGTAGCGAGCAACTGGGTCAACTGAGATTCTGTGGGTAACTGCAGCAGCAAAACAAATCTGCTGATATTTTCAGAGGACGTGGCAAACATGTTGTACCCAAGGTTTAGATCAAAAAATCACTAAGGCTTGTTAATGGGCTTTCATACGCAGTTCATGAGCAAATTTTCCGTTTCTTTCATAAACCCTAGTCCAATGGTACTGTTCTACGAGCTGTTTAGTCACTTTTAGATACACCTGAATTCACAAAGGATACCTTCTACGAACACAGTGGATACCGGTTCAAAATCCCATGACCAGCTGAAGACTTGACCAGCCATTTTTTCATTGCGTTTGGTTTCTTCACTCCTAAATTCTTAGAGATAAGTGACACTATGAGCAGAGTCATCAACGTGATGCTCGCTCCATCCGCAATCCAGAAGCAAATTGGGGAAGTCAGCAAAGTCCAGATTCATTCAGAATCCGGATAAGTTGTCGATGTCATTTATATCTCCCATGGTAGACTGTTATACCCTTTCGTCCCCAACATCGCTCCAAAAATTCGCCGACATAAATGATACCATGTACAGGCCTTTCCAGTGTGAGTTAATGCACCAACCGAAACTTTCCCGGATCACTTCAGTCATATTTGTCGACTCATGGACTGGTCACCCTGTAGCTCAGGCAAATAATAACAATGATGCAATTCACTGTGTACCTGATCGAACCTATCACTGGTTTCCGGTTTTATAATGTATAAAATCAGTAACAACCAATCACTCGGTTTTGGCTGTTGACCAAGTGGCAATTCGTCTGTTCGCAGAGTCTGAAAAATGGCTTTCAAACTTCTCGTCACCATGTAAGGAGCCATCGCCAGTACACGGTTAGGTCCCAACTGCATCTCAACCAATCGTAAACAGTCTGAGCAAAACAATCCACTGTATACTCTTGTTGTCTCTGTAAGGCTTCTCAAAGGTCAACTGCACTGGTGTCGCGTGAGTCAACCGGATTGCCTTCTGTTTGGTAACAGCAGTTAAAAACTGCGAGCAACAATTAAACAAGTCAAATCATCTAGATGTGTAGAGTTGAACACCTAGCTACGGACTGTGACTCGCTTCCATCTCGTGCTGATGTTGGTCCCCTCTCGGAAGAGAAGTGCAAAAGCCATCCCAGTGGGGTTACAATTGAAATGTTACACTAACTTTACTTGCATACTGACAATAAAGCCTCGGGGCCTGAACGAAACTGCTGCACTGTTAGCGACGTCCTAATATGATCCCAAAAATAGTTAATCATGATCCATTTAACAAGGCTATAAAATATGACAAATGGCAGGGTCTCGAGGACTGGTAACAGGCAGTAACTTAAACGGTGTGACATGCAAAGCCAATGTGCGTAACCCTTTAAATTTTCACTATGTTTCGGTGGGTCGCTACATGCATACTTTACCCAAACACTAAGTATGCGTAGTGCAACGTTACGTAATATATCACGCAGTTACGTACTTGGCGATTCCATTTTATACCGTGGGTGAATAATGCATTTGGTGGTATCACTGTTGAATGGAAAAAATTATCTGAGTAAGCAACAATTACATATTTTGGTATAACTACTCAGCTTGTACGGGACATTCTCGGGGGACGCAAATGCAGTCAACAGTGAGTAATTCACAACACTCTGCATTAAGCTACTGTGACTTTGCCATAAAATACTGTAGAACCTGTTTAGGATGAATTTTGCCAGGGTTCGTTGGAAACAGAGGAGTGGAAGTCGTCGGCTTGTTGTAAACCGGTATTGGTCCAGGAATTAGGAAGAATTTCAGAGGAGAACCCACGCTTTGATGTTAGAAATAAGACAATGAACCTGGTGAAGAGATATCGAATCTAGTTTAGTGGTTGTTGATCAGATGGCTGTTGATCACCCTTTAAACGTCGTTCCCCTGCTGTCGATATTCATTTACCTCCGTGAGGTCGGCTTCGGCAGCGGGTCTACTCGGCCGCTCTTCGGGTGTATCAAGCCACCTACGAAGCTGCGTCCCATTTACTCTTTTCGATCCCCGACCATCTTGAATTGTATCGACGTTTCCCCGGTGGTCGGTGACGACAAACGGCCCTTGCCATCTGCTGCCTAGCTTCCGCGATCCCAGTTCACTCCTTCCAGGATTCTGATGATCCTTCCACTTGACCTTCACGCTTATGAGGAATGTTCGCACCTTTCTACTCGCCGTTTTCTACCTAGTCCTTTCCTGAACGGCAATCAAGTTTTCTCGAGCTTTCCTTCTTTCTTCCTCTAGTTCCTCCGGAGACAAGCATGTTGCCGACCACGACTCAATTTCCTGTTCAAGCGGAAGGCGCGGATGTCGACCGTACATTAACTTAAACGGGGACTTGCCTGTGGTTGACTGCGTGGAAGGACGATGAGCCAACAACACCATTGGCAAGTTCATTTCCCAGTCACCTCCTTTGGCTGCAAGCCACTCCTTGATCGTTCGGTTATTACGTTCGGTCAGGCCATTTGTTTGCGGGTGGTATGGTGCCGTCCTTAGCCGTCTGATACCCAGCTTCTGCAAGCAATTACGAAAGTCTTCTCCCTCGAAGTAAAGCCTCTGATCGGTTAGGATCATTTTGGCACCCCATTGGTTGGCCACGATGTGATGCATTACCACTCCGCTGATCGTCGTCGCCCGCTGATTCGGCACGGCTGCCGCCTCAATCCATCGCGACAGGTGTTCTGTCATTATCACGATGTATTGGTTACCACTGGTTGTCACCGGAAAGGGGCCCATGAAGTCAACTGACCACAACTCGCCGATTTCTGAGACAGGAATAGGTTCCGTGGGATGGGTTGCCCCTGTCGTATCCCCTTTCATTAGTTGGCAACGCTTACAGGACACCACATAATCCATCACACTGGTAGTGTTGGGATATTTTTGTGTGGGTCATTCGTGATACTGACTGCAACATCCACTAACCAGACTATGGCCGTACACTTGGATAAATTGTGTGCAGTGGTGTTCAAAGTCACCAGCTGTAATCATACGGTTGTTTTTTATCACTAGGTGACACCGTAGAAACCCTCGGGAAAACACTAACATGTTTCTTTTGCCTATCCTGTCTTTACCGCTGCATCCGTCAAGAGGAACAACGGTGTCATAAGTTAGTATTGTTTTTCTACTCAGTCTAATTGAACTAGCCAATCGCTGGTGGTTTTACCCACAGGGTGGGATTTATAAAAGTCCAAATCACCGAATAGAAAGTTTGGTAATGCGGTCAAGCACAAAAGCTAGGACTTGTTGTAAATGACAATGCTGCGTTCGAGGGTTAGCAGTTCACCCTTGTGACAGAGCTTCCTTAATCCCTGCCCATCGATCTTCGTCATTATACGGTGCAGTTATGTAAATGTAGAAGCAGGCCATGTTGGATAAGACCAGTGTCACTTGAAAGCTCAGGTTGTGATCATTCTGAGTTTTTATTTTTGAGAAAAAATGGTCAGAGATTGCTAAAACGAGGAGAGGTTCTAGCCAAGTTAAACAACGTGATCTGGAAAGGAATGTGGGTCTTTGAAACAGTGATCCACTCTCCATGTGCCTCAGCAATCGGGACTGACGTAATATGTTCCCGATAGAGATGTCTGGTATTAAAATAACAGATCTAAAAATGCATGTTTCAGAAAAGTTTGGTAAACAGGTGGTGGATTTATCATCAGGCGACTTTGTTTTAAACAAACCTTCGTTCAACCATGTGAGTAAACTTCTACGTTGGTACAGCTTTGAGTTAGACAAAAAACAACTCAGAGGGCTTTGCTTTTTGCAAATTTTTTTCAGTTAGTGTGTACAATCAATCCTACGGCGGATAGGTGGAGGGACTTGTTCTCCGGTTTTATGGCACTTCAATATGTTGGTCGTTTACAAATTTTGTTATTCTACATGGAGATAATGAATGTCAGAACGGTTGGGATACAGCTTGAAGGAGGTCACATAAAATTTGGTTGGAATCCAAATAGATCCGGTAGTGAGAAAATCCTCCTCACTGATAGCCGCACAAAGTCAATTGTCAACTGGATGTGTTCACGCATATGGAGCGTACTCATATGTTGTAGATCTTTTCGGGATTTTCGAATTCGCGTTCATATCACTTCCGTTTGAACGGCTTTTCTCCTGACCCGGGAGCAATCAGTCCAGTACGTGCAAATCAAAGGACGAAACCACTGAGCTCAAGTTTTGTTCTTATTGAGCTCATGCAGTGCTTCAAACCTCGGGTGTGCACTCACTAGAATGATTGTGCCAGGACGGGAAGAGGACTGCCCAAACAAGAGTGATGTGGAAGTGTTCGTATGTGTTGGGTATGAACCAAAGCAGGAGATAAGGCTTTCATTTTGAAAAAAGACCTAGTAGGAAACACATCTGAGAGAAGGTTCGGATAGAGATGAGATCATATCCAAAAGGAATGTTTGTGTATAAGTGTCATCAATAAAGTGAGCTAAAACCTTTGTGGAGCAGCTACTGAGTGTAGCACGTTCCGATTTACCCAAAAAGCATTGACATTGCATTTCCAGATGATTTTCATCCATTCTATTCCAGTCTTTCATCTTCATTCGGTCAAGATAACTTCAGATAATATTGGACCAGGCCTATATCCGTTCCGTGGCGAAACAGAATTTGTGCGTTTGCATGTATTTACATGCACGTGTGGTTTGCATCGTTGCCCCGCGGTTTAAAAAGACAGTGGCTGAACTACCAAAGCTAGTCTGCCTAAAGTTGGCACTCACACTAGTCTACCGCCAAGGTGATAAGGAAAAACCCTCTCACCTGATTGCTCATTAGTGTTACACAAAACACTGGCAAGATTTCACCTGAGGGCGATCATACCATGGAACACACATAGACAGTCACTTACACTCCTCTTGTTATGGATCAAAGGAATCCTTTGCACTTTTGAGACCAGCTATTCTCTCACCTAACAGTTATTTCCATTGAAGTGATCTCTGCCTGGGATTCCATGATAAGTGGGTGAATGAATCGTATTTCAAAACTCTTTCAGCTAGTTTCTATTCGACTTAAAAAAATACAAGTTGATCAGCATTCGTTGATAACGCAAACAGCACTTCTTCGGCTAGTGCCGTTTTAGTTTTTTTATCGTGACTACAGTTTACAAGCAAAGATAAGTAAACGGGTTGTCTTTTGAATATGCTTGTCCATTCTAGTAATACTCAGTATGAGACAGACTTTTCTTGTCACTGGCTTGCATTTGTTCAATGGAGAAACATTCGAACCACTCGGATAAACATAGTTAAACATTTTTATAGTGATATATAGAGGAAAATGTCGGTGGCTCAGGTAGCGTAGATGGTCGTTGGCTAGTTCAGTGAGTTGGGAAATTTGATTGCAAACATTTCATCACCAACCGAGGTGACCACGTGGGCTTCGGCGAATAAGGACACGGGATGACAGAACAATCAATGGAACCGCCCGACCGGAAAACTACTCGCGGTCAAAGGTCATCCCCGGCTACCAGCACGTACATTAACACACACGCAACACTACTCAAAGCACAACCATTAACCCACCGCTACGCACAACTACGTTCCCGAATGACGCGCTGATGATGTCACCTCGATTGGTGATGAAGCGTTTGCAATCAAATTGCGCAGCTCAGCGAACAAGCCACCCACCATATTTATATTGGCTGTTATTGGTAGTCGTAAAAACGGTATCACCAGATGGGACGGACCTTGTAGAGAGCGTTAACTAAGAAAAACATCAGCAAGAAATTTATACTCATTCTTAGCCAAGTTGAGACAACAGTATAGTTCGCGACACGGGACTCGTTACTGGAAATGAGGTGACTAACTTTGAAATAGGAAGCTGAAGGGTATCATCAAAGTCAGCCATTTTAGAGAGTTGGGCACTGTGCGAGGGCTGCACTGCGATCCGGTTTCCAAATCACTTAGTCAAACAGCAAGTACTGGGGAAATATTCAATGTCTACGACCGCGTTGGTGTATTTGTGCAAAGAATATTAGATTTTTATAGAAGGTTTAGATAAAAGTTTGCAGAAGGCTGACAGATAGAACGTTCTGCATTCCCGTTTCTGGAGATTAACCGAATTGTAGATTATCTGAATGGCAACTAGGCAAGTACGAAGCTGTAAGATGAGAAGTCGCGGTTAGAATTTCAGATTATTGGAAGTTCAAAAGCAAATTGTGATTAATTTGGCGAATAGAACGTACCGTTGGACGAGTTCCTGTCGGGGTCAAAGATGACAGATGCAAGTTAGTTTTTAGTGTATTCATGCGGTTCTCACTAACAACTGGTTTATGCCAGAATGACGGGGATGCGAATGACTCCCGCTTTTATTTGTACAAGGTGAAACTAGATAAATGCCGGTTAAACTTTTTCTGGATGATTACTTACTGTAGTGGACAATAGTATCAATAACGATAATATTTTTCAAGCGTGTTGTAAATATATGATCCATAAGTTGACAGAGCGGACTACCTATTTGGTTGCTGAATACTCATTGACAGCCCGCTGCAGGTTTTATCACAGCTTGGGTTTCAAAAGGTGTGCGTAGTCCCCGAGATTGCATAATTCTTTTACCATTCATGGATACCTAACTGCAGGTAAGTGGCGAAGTGCTGCCATGAATAGCGTGTTCCTTCAAGAAAAATTACGTTGACATCTAGAAAATCATACCAACTGAGACGTGGAGCAGCCTTTGTACAGCAGATTCAGTTGAAGAATAGCCGAAACTGATCGATTCCGCCGTCAAAACCAAATCAATTTGCAAATGAGTTTAGTTCGCGAATTTCTTACAGTTGGGGTTCAAGTCAACCACAAGACTGGCGGAAGATTGGGGAATGTTTCTACTTGATCAGCCTAAAAAAAGGCTAAAATCAGACGTGGGCGTCGAACAGGCTTCAGTGACCCTATAACTAGTGTGCAAGCGAGCCTTTTTTTCGGCCGCGCTTTATATGATTCACAACAACGAAAATACTAGCAAGCATGGGTAGTATGGTTCTACTGGCCACAGTAGCGGAGACTTTAAATCATTGCTTGGGTCCTGTTACTTGTCTGACTAAGTCGCGAGTATAATGGAAAGAAACCCTAAATCAAATAGACCCCACTGGTTTACCCAGACGCGTTACATTTTTGTGAATAGAGTCATCAAAATTAATTTCGGTATTTTAATTCACAGAGCAAAGTACTATGAGGAGGGTAATGCCCGACCAGTGTAGGTCCACAAAAATCGGCAAACTTGGATGGTACGTGGATTTCGAATCTCCAAGTTTTACCCTATTTTCTTGTACTGTATATGAATCTATACTAGTACAAGCTATAAATCCGGACAAAATCATCTGACCACCTTGGATATCGCAAGTGTGGTCTGTATGCACGAATGTGGCGAGAAACAGACGTTCTCGATAGGTCGATTGATCGAGTGAGTACCCTTCAAATTGGAGGTCCGTAGGAGTAGGAGTTCCATCTCGGTCAAACCGGTTCATGTGTGTAGTCCTTTGCACAAACTAATAATTGTTCTCCGTGGATGGTTGAGGTTCAGGTGTTATTTCAAAAGCCGGACGGTCAACTACATGATGAGAAATCCACTCTAGTTACAAGCAATGATGTATCGCACAGTTCTGAGTAGACCATTTTTCTCATAAGCCTTCAATGGCCCGGGTAGCTTTTCGTACCACTTAGGAACATTACATACGATCAGGCAGTTCTGCCTGATGGTAGTCCACAATTACATAGGTCTTTTGTAACCTCACCAGTTCCATTACCGAAAGTGTACCCATGGCTTAGAACTGCAGGAAAAGTAGAGTCATCCATCATAATAAAACTACTGACAATCAGCATGTCCTAACTGGTGGCTCGGTGAGTTTACCGTCACATAGGTAAAACTTTCAATAATCAGCATTCCCGGGGAGTCGACATTTTGCTCTGATAAGGCCACTTGTTGAAGTTATACCTGGAGCTCGTTTGTGGGTATCATTGACGCGAGACAGACGCCGTAATCGAAGTTAAAACAGTGCGCAATTCCATTCTCCTATCATAATCTGCGGTCGCGCTAATTACCACCTCCGTTCTTTTACAAGGAAGTTACTCATACACGCTGAAACATGGGCTGGCATTTGTACAGCACGTTTCTTGATGAAGAAGAAACGAGAGATTCAGGTATATGAAAACTTGCCATATAAATGCATGTATTTGTCATAGTACCTGCGTTGTTTGATTTAACTTCTGAACTCGTCCATTTTGGGAAGTTCCAGGGTTTAAATATCAGCCGGAATCTATCGAGCTTGAAGTTTCATCTATCAATTCTAACCCCAAGGATATCACTCCCCGAAGAGTCCGTCCTCCTGAAATGGGAGTTTCTACTTCAACCGAGAAGAGACTACAGTTAGTCCTGTAGCATACCTTGAAGTCAAGTTCAAAGACTTGTCGATTGTTCTGCTATTCAAGAAGCTGAGTATGGTTCAAGTGTTACTCACCAGGCAGAACGGCGGGTGCCAGCCAAGTTGTCTTCTTTGCAGTATGTTTAACAAGAACAAAATACCAGTCTTACTTCACCACTATCCAATGGCTGAAGAATAAAATTTGACTGGCTGGCCTGTAGGTGCAAACATATAGAGAATCATCCTCCAAATAGCGCCGCCCAAACAACATTCTGAGCTGAGCTCGGTTGGACTACCAAGTCCGAGTGGCCAGGTCGATATACTGGAAAAGGGCAACATAATCCTATGCATGTATATCACGAATAATACATGCAATCTATACTAAAATAATGGCAATACACCTTGGATGTGCTGTTTTTATTTTGCCGAGACCCATCTGAATAAGGAGCAAGTCACTTGGCATTTTGCAGTTGAATGATCAGATACATGACTGTTCGACTCTGTTGGAGAGACCTACTAGGACACCGATTGGCTTAAGTGTAGATGGTAACGAATTTGTTTCCGGGTGGTATATTTGCTGATCATGTGTGTGACATTTCGAACATTTCTTTTGGCGCACATCATTCCGGGGTGAAAGAAAACTCTGTTTAATCAAGCTCCGTTGTAATCGTATCCCTCCAGTTTCAAACCAGGTACCAAACCACATGACACTGGATCTGCTGACATTTCGCTGCAGTTGATACGTGGTTTCTACTATTCAAATATGCATAATACGTCTGTATATTTGTAATCGTATCCCTCCAGTTTCAAACCACTGGATCTGCGGACATTTCGCTGCAGTTGATAAGTGGTTTCTACTATTCAAATATGCGTAATAGGTCTGTATATTTTTGCCATTCAGTCATCATTTGTGCCCGACCATTTGGGGGTGGTATATTTGCTGATCATGTGTGCGACATTTCGAACATTTCTTTTAGCGCACATCATTCCGGGGGGAAAGAAAACTCTGTTTAATCAAGCTCCGTTGTAATCGTATCCCTCCAGTTTCAAACCACTGGATCTGCGGACATTTCGCTGCAGTTGATAAGTGGTTTCTACTATTCAAATATGCGTAATAGGTCTGTATATTTTTGCCATTCAGTCATCATTTGTGCCCGTACCATTTGGGCTTTGGAGGGTCCCAATACAAGTTCTCTAGAAGACCTATAGGTCGGAGTTGCTTGGTATGTAGATATGAAGCTGTTTACAAACAGGAAATTTCAAGGAGGAAAAAGAGTTGGTGCGTGATACAATACTTACGGGTAATTTACAGTTTCCTAGTATTACTCTCCAAGTTAAACCAGACGATGGTAATGTGTCACAACAGCTGGCAGCCGTTATGATCCAGTTCGCCGCGATTATCGTTCCAACACAATCTGGTGCACCGTGACGTTGTACCCGCACCACCAATGGAAAGTCTTCCTCTTTTGGATCAGGAGTCGAGGTTACCACACTGAGTGTGGCATGAAACACTGGGTGAGAAATGAACACAAAATGGTGCAGAGTGAGCTGTTTCGTCACACTCTTTAATGCTGAGTTTGCAGGTCTTGTAGAGCGATGTACTTACCCAGCATCAGTGATATATGTAGCAGACGACAGTCTGGGGCCATGGGCATTATACTACAACGTACAAAAAGAAGTGGAAAATGTGACTGTCATCCATTATTTATAATTCCTCTTAAAGCACAAGCAAGTTGATGAATTCTAAGAATTTGACCTGTTACCACATCCAACGGAACTTGTCCCTATCATCAAAAGCAATTTACTCCCTAGACGTTTTTTTCGAGCCTGTAATTTTCTATGTATTTCGAATGTCTAAGCAGACTGAGTGTCATTGTGTGTCAAAGTGATTCATAGTTGGCTTATTCACATTACACTGTTTGAAAACAAGGAGAAACTTCAAAAGTATAAAAACTCTATGTGTATTGCCTTAACAAATGTCACTTTCTGGCACTACATTCCTTTCCACGACAGTAGTAAGAAGCAATTACAGGTCAAGGCCAAACATCGGCAATAAGAGGGTATCCTGTCTTGTTTAGAAAGGTGATATGGTTAGCTAATCACTATCTGACTGAAGCCCGAATTAGTAATAGAATGTGGAACAACTTTAAGGAGGGTGCATGTGATGTCATACGCATTTACTCTTAACAAAGGGAATCGCTCACATGGAATAAGAGTTTTTTCATCTGAGTTCACATTTATACCATGCTTAGGATTCTTTGTCAATGGAACTCAGATGGAAACTGAGAAAGCCCGCAGTATTTGGTGCTGGTTTGAACATGTGTCCTTGTCCGTCAGTCAACGGTGGCTTTCAATTAACTACTGTCTAATGAGGAAGGTGTAGCTAGACAGCCTAAAGATAAAAGGACTTCAATCCACAAGCTAGTTGTGACGAAAGCATGGATGTAAACGTTTGAGATGACACATAAAGGTGGACAAAAGTTGCGTGTTGTGCGGAAAACAATGCATTTTACCAATGCTATAAGGTAATAGAATGGATATTCAGTCAATCACGCTATCTGTGTTTTCATTAGGAAGTAGTACAGAACCTGCAACGCTTTTCAGTTCAACTACTGAATGATGTCACACAAAATCACGCAAGACTCACAGATATGAAAGCAGTTTAGCTATACACAGCTGATAAAAATGAAAAAGACAAACGGCCAACTTGCGCAATGGATAGCTTGAAAATATTAGCTTCTCAGCTCACTTATAATAAGTAGCCAAGTAATCATCGACCAGCAAATCACCAGCAGCCCAACAACTACCCAGTCACCAGCAGCCCGACAACTACCCAGTCACCAGCCGCCCCATCAGTTGTGCTGTTCAGATTACCGTTGTCTATCTGCACATGTGGGTAGCTAAACATAGATTGACCAAAAGGTTCGTCCAGGCGAATGATAGCGATCCGTACGATTGCGCTGGAAAACTATTCAATAGTGGCGTACTTTTGCAGCACGTTCAGTTGAAGAATACCATAAACGAGCGATTCATCTGAGCGATTCCGTGAGAACCAAGTTGATGCGCAGATGAGTGTATTTTTCGTATGTGGTGGTAATTGGATGTCAGCTAACTGATCCCGATGCATGCTCAGTCAGCAGCTGCAGCAAGATTTTGGTAGACGAATACACGGCAGAGTCACCTAAACGACACACACAAATCACCGGGGGCATTCATTCTTGAACAATTTTTAATCAACAGCCTGCCAGTCTAATCACTTTGACTGTAAAGGATTCGGTTGTTAAAATATATAGCATTCAGAAAAGAACATTAAAAAAGTCCACTAAACAGGGAGTCCGTCTGGGAAAATGACGTCACCACAGTGGTAGTCTATCGTTCGTGACCACAGTTCCTACAAGTTTATCGGTTCTGCTGATGACTAGGATAATCCACAAGGATTATTACTTGTGGCCTGTTTGATACTTTCTGCACCTAGAACACGTGGGAACATTAGTGTTTCTGAAGCATCCAAGATCTTTGATAGGCTTCGGGACCATAAAAGCTCTAGTTCAGGCTGATTAACTCTACAAAGTAAATGAAAAACCCATTCGTGATAAAGCCTCATCTAGTTCTGAGCTCAAATATACACAGATTGAAGACACTTTTTCGGGTTAAGACGGAAAGGAAGACTGTGGTACTATTGGCACAGAGAACGTCTTCCAGCTTGCGTTCACTTTTGGATCGATGATCAAAAATAAGTCTAACACACTTCAGAACTTCGGTTTTTCACAAACGAGAGAGCAGTCGGGAATGTGTTGTTGTTAAAGGACACTGCGTGATAGTTTAGGGGACGAATTGTCTCCACTCGATTGAAAGCATGACGCTTGAGTGAGTTATGATGAGGGTTTAGCCAATTGCTCTTGAGTGTCCTTGATCACAACTTGGGTACTCATTATATTTAGCAGTCAGCGATGAATGTTTGAATAACATTTTCTGTGCAAAGTCTGGACGAACGGACTTCCAACAGTTGAACTGCTGAAAGGTTGACAATCGAAGAAGGAAGGACAGGCAAACACGTGCCTACGAGGACTCATCTACTGACACTGCGCTTAAAAGAATACGAAACTTGGTGTTCAACAACATGAAAACTAATGGTCTGACTGTGCCACAACTGTGTGGATTATCTAAACTTTATAAAGAAAGACTTCTGATGCGCTTGTTTGCTGTTACGACAAATTTTCCCCTACAATCTAATACCCCGGGATAAGCTGAAGTTCCTGAACATATTCCAGGGCAAATATTTTGCTGCAGCAAACAAAAACATCGGTGACCTCATAAAACGGGGTAATCTCAACGATGGAAAGATGCTTCCACTGGCGAAAGTGTTCAATCCCACAGATTTGCATCTGAAAGAATTTATAGCATACCTACGAAAACATATGAAACAGCTAAAGCATGAAAATTTTCACCAAATCGCACATGAAAATTCAGATTTTTCAGCGTTCGCCGATGTTAATCAATACGCCCGCTTGACATTTCAGATGTCCGGAAGTAGACCCCCGCACAGGCAAGGCCCCGCACTTCTGATGGGCTCTAGTAAGATCTAAACTCGAGTCCAGTGCTTTCACATCTTGGCCTGGACTAACCAGCTAATTACGTCAGGACAGGGGAACGACACTTCAAACCAGAGTAACGGGAGTGTGAATGACAATGATTGTTCGTCATCGACGTCTGAGATAGCAGCCAACTGGCGGCTGAATCAGCTGAATCTATTTGGGTTGGTTTGTCACGCTTCGCACGACTAGAGGGACTTCGTGATATTAACAGGTTTTCGCGTTCCTGCATTCTGTCCTCCCAAGATTCCCAGTTTTAAACCGCGTTCAGCACCGCAAGAAATCTGCTAAAAGGGTCAACCCGGAGCAACTGAATTAAAGATAGCCTGCGTTCACGCCATTTTACTTGCCCCCAAATTTTCACAGCGGCCTCCACGTATATATTAAGATGCAATATTTCTAATTGCTCATAGTTTCAAGTGAATGAATTATTATTCAAAGGTAGAAAAAACCACTTTGACTGTCAATTGAAATCGATCACATGTTTACTAACCTCTACAAATTGGGGTCACTGATTGTACTAAAAATAGAATTCCTGAGTTCCTTCCTTGCAACAGCTGACTAAGGCCATTAGGAAGGTGCATGAAAAAAGGAAGTCTATCCTGACCCACTCGCTGATGCTAGCGATCAGCTTTGTTTGCTGTACGCATCAATGCATTAAAGTGCAGTATATGTGCTCTATAATCACTTAGGATGTTCAGAGGACTAAGCCTGAAGTCTAACTGTGGGTGGTGTATGACCAAAATCCTCTTAGGGTTTCTGTCTTTGATGGTGGCATATAAGAAGTGTCGTATGGACGTAATCCACTACTCACGAGGTTGCTGAAAACACCTCGGTAGCTCGAGATCGGGTTCACTTCTATCAGTGCTCGAAAAACAAGCGCGCTCCCAGAGATTCCCTCGACAATATGCTAAGCTTGAACATAAAGTTCACAAAGTTAGTGACATTCGCTCACTTGCACACCAATGTTGTTTCCAGGGCAGACCCAACTGAGTATATTACTTATGATGTTCTACAATGGAAACCGATCGTGGGCTGTCCAAGAGTTTCCAGAAACCTCGTAAATAGTGCATTACGCCTACATGGTGCATTGCGATAATTCGAATATCGTATCAACTGAATCATGAGGTAGCCTGGTGCAGCACATTCATTAAAAACATTATAAACGAGAGATTCAGTCTTGTCACCCTGAAAGCCTAATTGGTATACTCTTCTCATCCACAGATTTACATCTGATGGGAACTATCGCAAACCTATTAAAAAGTAGGAAAACTGCAAATGTAGCTTTGCACATACAAGCAGATAAGCTGAATGAACTTCTACTTGCCCCTTAATGAGCAATTTCTTTTTGATGAGAGAAAATCGACAAAGGGACGGAGTAGCTGTGGAATCACAACTAGGCCGATTGTTTTCTGATATCTATACGGCCAAACTTGAGAACAGGAAGTTGATGGGTGATATGTCGATACGACAAATATGCTGACAAGTACTCCGGTTTAGGCATCACCTTACCTATAGGAAATTTATAGATTTTAGCACGAAAAGCCAAGTGAATAATCAGGTATCCTTTCCAGACCTGGGTATGATCCGAAGAACCAACGACTCTATTCAAATAAGCTTGAATCACAGGGAAACTTGAGGTAGACAAAAAGAGACTTGGTGTGCTGTTTGGCTCCGAGGGTCGAAAAATATGTTCATATGACAAACAGGATTGCGGATTGGGTGCTATTAGGAAAATTTAAGGGGGAACGGCTAACCCGATCATTTTATCTCACGAACTATTCGAATCAGAACCAGAACAACTGTATCAGTATCTGTCGAACCCAAATGATTTTTTCTACTGATCCCTTTCGAGGGTCACGCTGTAAATGAGGGACTATCCCGAGGTTTGCCCACAGCCGTAAGATCCAGTTCAACGTAGCTAAACTTCGGTGATTCTTCCCAACTTCACCTCCCTACGCCAGACAAAAAATGGAAACTATCAGTGCTAAACTTATTAACGTTTGTTTATGAATTCAAGTGTGTTTGTGGGTCGTACCGTACGGCAATTGTCTAAACGGACTCGGAAACAATGCGCGAAACGGTCCGTCTGCAGATGTACAGGCACAATCCGGAGTTCTACTGTAGCTCACCTTGTCGACACAAGGTACATTTTAATGGGGCACTGGATATCGGTTGGTGTGCCAGGTTCTAGAACGGTCAGAATACTCAGCATCACGATTGCCGAGGCAGTTGCCATCTGACTCCAAGTTGTTCAGCACTTCCAGTTGAACAAACTGCATGTTAATGTAGTGATAATATAGTGTTAATATAATGAAAGGAAGAAGGCTTTTGCTGCGGAGTGTAGCAGCCATACGGCGGAGAAAACACGTCTCCGCCGTCCGGACCTACACCAAGGAACTCTCACAGACGATAAGTTCCCCTTTTGACTTGCTCCCATTTTGCATTGTAATTATTTTTATACGTGTGGCATCTCACCATTTCCAACTGTACTAAAAACTTTTATTAGTGCATATACCTTCTGATTTGTGTTATGGCCACCATCAACAGTGCACTAATATAAATCACTTGTCTGCAGATAGCATAAACAAAAAACTATCTCCCGGTTCAGCCTGCTACGTTATCAAATAGTGAAGTCGTATTAGCGCAATCCTGTGCACCGACTTTTAAACTGTCGTTCAAATGGGGCAATGAGGAATGAGCGGAAAATTGTAAGATAATTTACTTCACGTCAAACGTCTGAGAGTATGTCAACGAAGCAGTGCTCGTGAGGTGGCATACCAACGTAAGGCCATGAAAAACAAATGGCCAAGATAATGTGCTTTGAGCAGTGAAGATACTCAAGGGAAATCTATGGACATGATTATGTGGTAAACATGACTGATACTCTATTCATTGCTCTATCCATCATTCTCTTGTTTTAATATTCCATATGCTGTACATATAAGCCAGTTCGAATACACACGTGCTACTTGTTGCGCTGTGCTGAATTGTGGCAGTTCGTTTGGTTTGGTTATATCGATATACGTGCGGAACTTAATTCTCACGGATTAATATGCTCGACAAAGTGACTGTTTGCGACCTGACCTCAAGCAAATGGACCGACCTGACGCAAAATGCACGATAACCGTAGTAGGAACTACTGATCGGAGTATACGGCTGAACCTAGGCGCTCAGCATTCGCACAATGGAATTGAATTTTCGAAAGGTATGATGAGTCCGTGATGGACTCAAGCAACCGGGCAATTGAGTTTGGAGTACCAATCCAAACATTTAAACCCCATTTGGGCATCCCGGGGTCTCAACGAAGCTGGGAATTCATCCCACAAGACTTTTCAGCCAGAGGAATCGATGCTTCAGTGGAAAATTCAGTGGACACTTGGTGAGCTGCAAAAATCTGAACGTAGATTGATACGGTTTTTGTTTGAGCACTGTGAGAATTGAGTTTCGTACGTATATCGGTATAACCAGACGAACTAGAAATCCAGAATTCAGCGAAGCGTAACAACCAGCACATATTGTTCGAATTGGCGTATATGTGCAGCATATGGAGTATTAAAACAAAAGAATAATGAATAGAGCAACGAATAGAGTATCAGTCATGTTCATCACATCCGTCACACCTTGAATGAGCGTGTGGATGT